TTTTTTCTGTTCTCAGATTGTTACATCTTAAAATTTGACTGGCTATCAATAGAACAGTATTAATCTTGAGTTCCACAAAGTATAGAAAAGACCAAGTTGACACTATAATCACAATTAAGAATTTGCAATGTAAAAGAAAATATTTTTAGGCATATCAATTAAATATCAACTCAAATTGAAACAAAGATACATTTATCAAAAAGGTAAAATTTATAACTTGATTTCTCATAATTTCTCTTGATGTCTGGTAAAGCACAGTTGCAGTTTCTCTGGCTTTATTATGGCAACAGGCTAACATAAGTGCTGGCCTTTGGGCTATTCACATATATTTTCCTAATCAGTTGCAACAATGGAGTTATATTTTTTTCAAGTTTCCTGCTTCCGTACTTCTTTCTGCTATCTGCAGTCGATTGAGTTACAAAAACAGTATTCATTAGTTTGCCTCAGGTGCTAACCTTGTTCCAAATCAGCCTAACTTTTCTTTTGTCTAGATTTCCCTCTGGGGGCCAAGACTGGCTTAGCTGAGGCCATGATAACTCACAAAGCTTCCTGAGCATCTTTGGTTTTAATTTTACCCCATAGCCCCCCATAAAGCCTTTACCAAAATTTTGAATCATACATTCAAGAACAGTTGGTTTAATATTTGCATTTCTATGATCACTTGGTATTCCCTTGTCTGATGGCACAGAACAAACAAAGGGTGGGTGCCCTTACAAAGGAAAAGTGAAGTGGAAACAAATTCTCTCTAAATAGGGAAGGGTGGAGGGAGTGAAGGGAGGGCAGGGGAATGGGGAAAAAATAAGAACCAAGATATATCGTGTAAAGGTACAAGATCCCAATGATGAATGTAAATGTATTGTATACCTAAAATGTACCAATAAAGAAAAAAAAAGACAGAAAGTAGTTAAAATAAGCTTTGGGAAAATGTCATTTTAAAATCCTAGTTATTAAGTTTATAGTGCAGCACTCATGATACCATTCAACACCAAACTTCTACCCCTCCAATGAACTGTTCCTTTCACTAAAGCTTTAAAACATATATTTCACTCAATATGTCATTCTACATTGTCTAAATCTGTGCAGTCTAATATGGTGTCCCTAATCACATGGCAACTGAGAACATGCAATCTAACTTGTCTTAACTCAGATATACCATAATTGTAAAATATACATTGGAGTTTGAAAACTTAGTCTGAAATAAGGAAATTAATGATTTTATATACATGGATTGCTGAAATACTATTTTAGCTTATAGTGGAGTCCATCTAAATTATTAATTTAAACTATTTATTTAATATGATTCAGAAAATTCAAATATGTAGCTAACATTTAATTTTTATTGGGTAGTCTAAATGTTTTTCTAAGATGGGTGTTTATGTAGAGGCGTGTCTTCAACTAACGTATAAGCAATTTGAGGGTAAAAAAGCTATCACAACCATCTTTATGTGCTGTGAGGTAATCAGAAGGATCCACAGTGGTCAATAAATTTATGTTTACTGAATTTTTGAGGCTCCTCTTGCTCACTCTGGCATCTCATTTTGCAGGAAAATATGGCAGTGGCCATTTTAGAGACAGACACTCAGGAATGTGGGGACACTCTGAGGGGGAGGCAGGGCTAGAGACAGTCTTTCTGTGGAATAGCCAGCCTGTGAGTACCTTCCACAGGCCTCTGTGGTCAGGTTGAGTTTTCCAGGCACTCTGTGTCCACAGACTTAGGAGCTGTTTGGCCATTCTGCTAATCACCATTCTTGGTTTCCTTCTCAGCTACTGTGGGAAGTGTCTGGTTTATCATGAGTGATTCCTGTCTTCAAAGACCTGAGACGTGGATGCTCATGTGTTAATGAATAGCACATAGCCTTGATGCTTGGCCAAGGTGGGGGCTGGAGCATCCCATGTGGGATGTTATGTGGTACACTGCCCTGCCTATGTACTACTTTCAACCTCCCATTACTGTTGGGTTGATGCTATTGTCCCTCTTCCTCGGATCACTGATACCCTTGCTCACAGCTATGAGGAACAGCTGAGTATGGGAGAGGAGTAGGCTATGCTGCTCCCACTTCACATGGACCACAGTCCTGAAGGGCGTGAAGTGACTTTAGAGGTGAACAAATGCAGCTCTTTTTAAAGCCTGCAGGCCACGGACTCCCTGGTCTGGCCTTGGTGACACAGAGGAACAACAAATACTCCCTGATTGACTTACCTCTCAAATTTTCTCTTTGTACCTCCTCTTACTGATGATTTTACTCTACAGTGCTTTCCAAGTAGTTTGATAATCCCCCTAAGGGAGAAATGCTCAGCAAGATAAATATGTTCTCTTCTGCATAATCACATCCATGTCATCTTGTTTTCAGTTTAAGGAAAATATGTACTATTTATTTATTCTTTTGTGGTGGTAGGAATCAAACCAAGGACCTTAGGCATGCTAGGAAAACCCTCTTTTTCTTTTAGATAAGCATAAAACATTCAGCAAACCCAGAGAAACTATACCTAAAATCCAAACTCTGACATCTAATCAATATATTTTCCATTTCCTCATTCCCTTCTTAAAACTCTGTCTTCCTGGTACCAATCACCACAACAAGGCTGTAGGATTATAGGAGATATTTAATGTTCTTTTTGTTTTTGTTTTTTGTTTGTTTGGTACCAGGGACTGAACGCAGAACCTTGCACTTGCCATATAGGCAGCAGAACCACTGAGCTAAATCTCTGGCCTTTAACGTTCTTTTTGCTTATATAGTTTATCTGGCTTTTCTACAATGACCATATATGAAACACCTAAATTTAAAAGTCAAAAAAGTAGATACCTTCAGAAGGTAGAATAAAGCTTTTCCAATTTCCCTCATACTCAATTCCCTGACTCCACAAAATTTCTCAGCTGGAAGAAACAGTCTGAATTATTGCCATACTTAGGGTGGAGAGAGATGTTTAATTTTTCTGGCATTAAACACACAAGAAAGAGCAGATATAGTCTCTGACAATGTTTAGACCTACGATTTTTCTTCCTTCCTTCCCTTTCCTTCCTTATTTTCCTTCCTCCCATACTCCTTTCATTTTACCAGTACCGGGGATTTGACTCAGGTCTACACTCCCTAGTCCTTTTATTTTTTATTTTGAGACAGTCTCACTAAGTCACTAAATGGTCTGGGCTAGGCTTTTGAACTTGCAATCATCCTGCCCTTATAATATTTTTACTGATGGGTTTATTAAAACATAATCCAGTCATAAGTTAAGAATAATACGTATTTGAGTAGGAGTGAGGCTCAGTGGCAGTACTGTGACCTAGGTATAAACCCTACTTCTCCTCTCTGAAACATTATAAACATAGAGGTGTGGCCTTTCTATGGCATTGCTTGTAGTGGGGATAGATGATTATGTAATAAACTGAAATGTGCATGATCCATGATTATTTATGAATTTGCTCTTCTCTCGGGGAAACATATTGCCTGCAGAAAAATACCTATTCCATGCAAACAAAAACAAAAACAAACAAACAAATATGCCCTTTTGTATGCTCACCAACTCCTTTTTCTCCACTATCCCCTCTACCTATGGCCACTGGTTGCTACCCAATATTTAGGACTATGTGCTCCTAAGTGCATTAGACACTAACTTAATAACAGAGAAATGAAATGAATGGGCTTCTTCATGCTAACATTTAAATGGTCAGTACCAGCTTATTGGAGTTGCTCCTCTTATGTCATCTACATTTTAAGAACACTATCAATCATAATTTTTTGTATTAGGGATATATTACAGAGGAGTGTGGAAAAAGCAGTAAGAGTCATGACTATATCATAAAAAGTAAGCTTTATATATTTGTAGGAGCTAGGAATGAAGTCTAGAGAAAGTAGTTGTCAATGTTCTGTGTATTGTCTGATGTCATTTCAGATCAATGTGGCAGCAGTAAGGAAGAAATATATTCCATAAAATAATGAAAAACAAAGACAAACTGAAACCTGCTAAGACAAACTGCACTCCTTTTCTTCCCCTCACCACCTCATACCTTAGGGGGAGGCAACCTGCCAAAGAACCTAGTGTTCTTTTTACTATGAGAAGCTAGGATAGCCCTGGGCCTGGCTGCTATGCAGGTCTAGTGGTGGACTGGCAGATCAGTAACAGCATACATGAGCTGTGGTGTTGCCTGACACCCTATGCCCTCAGAGTGAACTTAGATTGCTGCTTCACTTATACCTTCAAATTTTCATGAAAATTCCATTTGTACGCAACAACAACTTGGAGCCATGGAGGGAAAGAAATTCTGGGAAACGTGGTTCATATTCACTTATGCTGGCACACTGTAAAATGACCACAGCCCTTAAAATTAATTTTAAAAGGTGTCTTTTCTGAGTCATCTACAGGCCAGTAGAGATGTTAATGTTGGTAGCAGTTGGGGTAATATAGGAGAGTTAAGGAAAAGAGGTGAAGGGAGCTTTCTTGGTGATCTTTAAGAGATATCTCAGAAGAACAGAAAATCCAGGTTCTACATGTGCATTGTTTGATCACAATGTTTATAAATGTGTCCAGAAAGTAGACATCTGACGTTACAGCTGGACCAGTTACAACTGAGAAGTACTGAAGGATACACAAGAGTTTATGACGATCCATTTCTCCACATACCACAGCAATGCCTTCCTCCACTCCATTGCCCTCTCTCCTTCTGAGACAAAGACAAGCAAAATAAGAGGAAGGAATCCATAGGAGACAGGGACAAGCATGACTAGAAGCTCCTCTAAGGGCTGCAGAGAGGAAGACCTGAAAGCCATTCTACAACTTCTTGCTTTGAAAGAAAGCCAGTTAGGTCCTAAAGCACAGTGGAATGGAACAATGAGTCTATTCTGCCAAATGTGTAGGGCTATCTCAAGAAATGTTTCCTGTCTGTGGGGGAGCAGTAGGAGGAGTGAGATAATAAAAGCAGGTGGAAGGCAGTTCTATCCAAAGCTCAGAGGTAGAGTTGCCTGAGGTTTGCACTTTTCTACTTTGTTAGACAGATCTGTAGCTCAATGGGAAACTTTTTTGGCTACGTATATCCAGGCCTGTTTCTGGTCTTATATGGACTGTATCAGGCCCTAGTGGTCTCCAAAGCTGTGATATTCAATGACTCGCTCCTGTATCCTTCATGGCCTCCTAAGAATAAGGGAAGATGGGCCAGGCTGTGGAAAATATCCTTTGGAGGTTGGGCAAAGATAATGACTGGCATTCTCTTGATAACTTATAACAGCACCACTGAAGAAGGGTTCAGATTGTTGAGCAGAGAGCTGCCACCAAGGTTCATGTACCCCAAAGAGTGGCAGCGTGTCACCATGTTCACCCTCCTTTCCCTCAGTGGCTGCGCAGATGTCATCAGCAAGAACGTGCTGCCTCAGAGATGCACAGTCCTAGAAAAAGGTGCCCAGGCCCTGAGCATCTATGAGCTTCTGCTACTGTTGGTGTCCCATGTTAAGGACTTATCAGGAGTAAAGCTGCAACTCCATTCTCTGCTCATCTTGGTGGTTTTCCTGTTGATGGTGGTACTGACTGCAGAGATGTGGGCTCCTGCCATGTTTCACCTCCGGCTGATTGAAACTTTTCTGCACCTGATGATGGGCTCCTGGCTGGTGCAGGCAGGCTTTATTCTATACAGACCAATCTCTGGCTACCCATGGGATGATGATGACATCAGTGACATCATGTTTGTCACTACTTTCTTCTGCTGGCATGTGATAATCAATGCTTTGTGCCTCCTGGTAATCTACAGCCTCTCTTCCTTTTGGCACCATTGTTACAGCCCCAGGTTGAAACTTATGGGGTCCAAAGAGGCTCCATATCATGAGAGCACTCCAGAACCTCTCTACAGGGTGCTTCAGGAAGTGGAGCAGCCAGAGAAGGATGACCAGGCTCCCCTCCTTTCAAAGAGCTCACACTGATATGAGGCCGAGAATGCCTGGCACGTACTGCACCCCATCGCTCCCGTTGGTTCCCTCAGCCATGTGCATGTCACTCTCTTTGGTCCCACTGAAGGTAATGGCCCAGGAGAACAGCAGCTGGTTCTCATCTACTGGTTTATTTTCTGTCTCTGAGCCTTTCATCATTGCCAAGGAAACAAGAGAGGCTTGAGAAAAGGACATGGATGAGATTTGGGGAGAGGGAGAGAAAAGTACAAGAAGACATTAGTGGGGAAAGGCACAAGGGAAAAGAATGCAAAAGAAGGGCTTTGTAGGGAGGAGTCCCCTCTGCTGAGAGCCTGGCAGAGCCCAGCAGTTACGCTGTCCCCACTGCTTCTCCAGGTACCAGTGATTGCCTTTACTTAAAGGAATAAAGATTTCTCACAATCCAAAACTGGAATCATTTAAATTTCATCCTGATAAAGTAGGCATTTTTATTTGCTCACTAAAGAAGTGGTTACCATGTAGAAATAGCACAACAGAATTTAATAATCAATAGAGGTTAAAATTATGTTCTTTTTGTCTCTTCTTTCCTACTCACAACTTTTAAAGACTGGCTTTACTTCAAAGTTATGCACATAAAGTGCCTTTAAAAATCAAACAATAAATGTTGGCGGGGTTGTGGGGAAAAAGGAACCCTTCTCCATTGTTGGTGGGAGTGCAGAGTGGTGCAACCACTGTGGAAATCAGTATGGTGATAGCTCAAAAATCTAAAATTAGAGGTCCCATTTGACCCAGCTATTCCCCTGCTGTGTATCTTCCCAAAAGAATTAAAAGCATTATACCACAGCAATATATGCACATGTTTATAGTGGCATAGTTTGTAATAGATAAATCTTGGAAACAGCCCAAATGCCCATCAACTGGTGACTGGATAAAGATGTGGGGGTTTGTTTGTTTGTTTTGGGTACTGGGGATGGAATTCAGGACCTAGCCCTTGCAAGGCAGGCGCAGCACCTCTAAGCTAAATCCCCAGCCCCAAGATGTGTGTTTTTTTTTTAATAAAATGGAGTACTACTCAGCTATAAATAATGAGAAACTAGAGACATTTATAGCTAAATGGATGAACACTGAGGCCATATTCAAGTGAAATAAATAGGACACACGTTAAAATACCAGTTTCTCTGGTGTGAAAAACTGAAAGTGTACATGAGGATCAAAATGTATAATATATAATGTGAAATTGGAGAAATTTATTCAAAAGGGAAGGGAAAGGGAAAGTGGGAGGGGTAGGGAAAAGGAATATGACAAAAGGAAAAAACAGAAAAAAAGTCTTTGTAAATAGAAAGGGTTGGTGGGATTGAAGGAAGGGTAGGGAAATGGGGAAAAAAATAAGAATCAAGATGTATCATGTAATGGTACAAATCCCCAGTGATAGACGTCATCTTATTGTATACCTAAAATGTTACCAATAAACTTAATGAATGTAAAAAATACTTTAGTAACAAATTTGCATAATTCAAGCTTTATAGAATCTAGACAATTGGTACTTTCTCAATGTCATGTTCTTTACTATGTCAGCCAAAGTTTACCAATTTAACCATACCCACTCTTGTACATGTAATTTATTAGACACTATCCTTGGGTCTTTCCAAGGCCCCTCCTCCCCCAGTCCTTGTGCCATCTCACAATCAGATTTTTACCATATTACTTGGCAGCCAGAACTCACTTCTACATCTAGCCCCTGGGTATCCCAAGGCCACTCTTCCCATTAAATCCACCTTGCTATTTTTCCTATATAGTCACTCCTTTTATTGTTTTGTTTTTGAAATAATTTATCTTGGACAATATTTTCCTTACCCACTAATAACACAGGCTCCTAAAGTGTAGGACTTTGCCATATACAAGTTACAAAATTTGGTCTTTTTTTTTTTTTTTTTTGAGACAGAGTCTCACTATGTAGTTGAAACTGACCTGGAACTCACTACGTAGCCCAGGCTGGTCTCAAACTCTAGGTGATCCTCCTGCCTCAACCTCCCAAGTGCTGGTATTACAGGTGTGTGCCACCATGCCTGGCTAATTACAAATTTTTTTATGTGTACTCCATGACATAGCTGATGCTTACTGAAGCCTTATTTTGGTTCTAGAATCTCCTCCTAGCCCTGTTCCTTCTCAATGTGTTGAAAAACAGATCAGAGTTTCCTCTGCACAAAACCAACAGTCCTAACACCTGAGTCATCTCCTAAGTAATGGGCTCTCTCTCGTCCTCATTCTGGTGGATATTAAAATCCAGCAACCTATTTCTTAAAAGTTTCCTCTGCTATTTCTTTGGATCCTTACACATTTCTATGAGGAACCTCCAGGAAACTGCAGGTTGACTTCAAGTCTCACAGCATCCATAAGGCAAGACAGGAAGTCAAGTACAAGTGTGTAAGACTTAAGCCTGTGACTGTCTCCTCCAGGTCATGGTGACTTCACTAACGGCAAAAGAGAAACAAGTGATCCTCAAAATGAAAACAGGAATGGAGGGAAGAAGAAAGGGACAGAAAGGTAGACCAGCTAAAAGGTCCTAGTAAAAGAGGCAGCACAATGTAAATAACCAGGATCCCCTAAAAGATGTCTTTATGCTACATTTAGGACTCACCTGCAAATGCCCATCCTCTCTAGGAATAAGAATCTATGAACTCTCAATTTTTGGCTCAGTTTTAAACTTTCAGGCTTCGTTCTATGTGAGGACTAAGGATAAGACAGTGACCAAGTTTTCTAATCCTTGCCCTTCTCCCTTTATTCTTCTCAATTGGCCTTTCTTTGGGAAGCTTCCTTTTCGCTTCTCCCCTTTTACATATTAATGGGTGGTGATTTTTTTAAAAAGCACAAACACTCTCAGATGCCCATTTCTAGGCATTTGAGGCCTAATTTTGTAATGATAAACTTTTGGTGATCAGGAAATATTCTCAGCCAAATATCTCTTAAACGTCTGGCATAGGACATGCACTTGTATATTATTAATTTATCGTATATAACGTCATAAAAAGGCCTTCTCCGTGAAGGGCAAAGAAAAAACCTTAACCAGCGAAGTGTAATGGTGCAACCTGTAATCCCAGAAGTCCGGGAGGCTGAGGCAGAAAGATCGCCAATTCCACCTCAACCTGGGCAACTCAAGGACTTAGTGAGACTCCACCTGAAAAATTATAATTTAAAAGAGTGTGTGTGGGGGGTTGATGTAGCTCTGTATGAAGTCCTGAATTCAATTCCCAGTGTGTTATGTGGGGAGGAGCGATGTCCCTCTCAAATTTTGAGTGGTTTGTAATGCCTAGAAAATTCCACCAGGGGGCACTATATTCCCATCACCAGGGCCAAGGATTTTCTCCAACCCTATGAACAAGTTTTCCAAGAATGGATTTAAAAGGAGGGGGAATGGAGGACAGGAAAAATACAGAAACAGAATAAAAATTATCCAAGTATCCAGAAGGCATATCCTAGGGCTGTTTGTTTCCCATTAAAATTTGGCAGATGAACATGGAATAAACAGGGATCCAAATCAACTAACAGGGTTAGAAGTTAGGAAGGAAAGACTGTGGATCCAGTTGAGAATTTCTTTCGGAAAAGTACTAGCTAAGGGCACATTCTGATCTAGATAATTTTTGGATAAGAATGCTAAATTTGTAAAAAAAAAAAAAAAAA